TTCCTCGATTTGGGATTTAAAATAAATCGGTGACTTGGGACACAATAACAAATATCCCAAGTGGCGTCTCTAAGTTAAATAAATAATTTTATTTCGATTAATGTCACTTTAATTGAAAACACTCCCTATCCCCTCGGGAAAAAGGAGGTGTGACAGATTAAAAATGATCGAGGGCAGTGCCTATTGTCGATCCTTAATATCTCAAATCTTGGACCCTCAAATACAACTTTATAATTTTATGCTAAGGCGTTTTAACCCTTACATAAATCAACAAAAACACAACAGATTCAGAAGCCATGGAATGGAAAAGTTTTATATATTCATCAAAATCTTTTTTACAAGGGCAACACGGCCCGATGGAGGTTCTTTACAAAAGGCCAAAGCGGCGTCGACAAAAATACAAAAACTATCCAAAAGCTTAAAAGGCTTAGTTGTCTCCGGGAGCAGCTTCATCCTCGGGGCCCTCTCCACTTTCGGATCCGATCAGGCTCTTAGAATCGTCGTCATCAGGGTAAGCTAACCCATTGGCTTTAGCTTCGAGCTCCTTAACGCTCTCGATCTCGGCTGTAAGATCGAAGCCCCGAGCATGGATCTCCTCAAGAGTGTCCCTTCGGGATTGGCATTTGGCGTGCTCGGTGACCCTATTTGCTCGAACATGAGCAGCCTCGGGGACCTCCTTTGCTCGGACCTGAGCAGCTTCGGCGTCGGCCCGGTAAATGGCCACCACTACATCAGCATTGGCCTTGGTCGCTTCAATCTCCGATTTGGCTGCTTCAAGCTCTCGGACCAGCTTCTCTCGATTGGAAATTGCCGAACCCAACTGAGACTGGAGCTCCTCGATTTTTTTAGCTTGCACCAAGTTTTTCTCTTTCATGCTTCGAAGTTGAATTTCAGCCGAGGCCAGTTGGGCCCTAGCAGTCTCCTTTTTGAGGCAAGGCGGTCCATGTCTTCTTCCACTCTTCGGCCTCAGTTTTCACTGCATCTACTTCCTCGCGGAGTTGCCCGATCACATCGAGCTTTTGTTGGACCTGCGGGTTCGAACCATTAGCCATCACGCCCGAGTCACCGCCATTAAATTTTAAGATTCTTTTTACCTGTTCGGCCAGTTCGGCATGTTATATATGAGCCATTTCTAGCTCAGCACGACGTAAGCCCTCGGACCTCGGCGTCATACTGGCTCAGCTCCCCTCGGGATCGGAGGAAAGCCTCATGATGAAGCACTGAAGCCTACAAACATAGAAAAATGAGTTATATAAAGGGAGAAAAGTCTAAGTACAAAAATGGACATCGACAAGGAAATCTATGATTACCTAGTTTAGAGCCTGTTGAGCTTCGTTTAAAAGACAAGGTGTTTCCACCTCATCCATCTTGGCTTGGTCTTCTTCAGTGACCAAGCATCGAAGATAGCTAGCCAACCCTACGGGGGCATAAAGAACCCGAGCATCCTCCAGGACCGAGATGATAGTTGATCGTTTACGCTCGGGATCAGCACTGGGGGCCGGAAATTGATTGGTCAGTTTAAATCTCGAGGAAGCCTCACTCGAGCTCTTCCTCAGTACCACCAAGTCACCTAATGAATAGCCACAGAAAGGGTCTTCTACTCCATGGACCCCTTCCCCATGGCAAGTCTCCGCCGCCTGAGCTTAATCTATCATCGACTCAGTGAATGAAGGAAACGAGGGGGAATCTACGATATTTATCACCCCAAGTAAATAAATGGGGGCTCCGCCTTCATCTCGGGAAGCTTCAAGCTCGGTTTTTACACTAGCATCAACCGTCTCCTTAGTAGCCTTCTCACCTCGAGGCGAGACATCTTCGGCTCTTTCTGGCTCGGGAACTTCGGCTGAAGCCTCCCCCTCATTCACATCAAGTCGAGGCAGAGCAGACTCAGCTGCCACCGGCTCAGTAGTTCCTTGAATCTGGGTGCCAGCTCGCACATGGGCCACCGGCCCGAAGTCTTCTTCTTCTTCTTCTTCCTCGGGCTCTTCCCTTAGCCATTGGACTGACTCCAAGGTTAAAGGGATGATGTTCCCTTTGGGTTTACAGGCTGTTTTCTTTTTGGGCTTCTGCCCCTCAGAGTTTGTGGAAGTCGAAGCCCTCTTCCTTTTCTTCTCCCTCACCGGCTTCGAAGTAGATGATGGGGGAGGGATTTCTTCATCACCAAAAGCGGGCCTCATCATCACATCCTTCCGAGACCTACAAAAGAAAAGAAATGAGTAAGTTCGGAAAAATATTCGAACAGTGATCAAATCATTAAGTCAGGAAGAAAAATTTTACCATGACTACTAGCCTTCCATCGACCCTTCTCCAAATCGCGCCATGCGCGCTTAGCATGTGTCGACTGCTATATTAATCTCCTGACCTAGTCCTTGATATTGGGAACTGTGCCTGGCATCCAGGCAATGGCTGCATCAAGTAAAACACTGGTAAGAAAAGGTGACAAAACGAATGCAATAAACAGAAATTAAGGACGGAATTATACTTATGCTTGATATTCCATTTCTCAGGAAATGGCATACTCTTGGCCGTGATCAAGTCCGGGGTCTTCACTCGAACAAATCGGCCCATCCAATTCCGGTCTTTGTCCTCATCTATGCTCGAGAAAGGTGCCCTGGTGGCCCGACATTGAAGCTTTATTAGTCCTCCTCGATAGAGCCGGGGACTATATACGCGGATGAGATGGTCGAGGATGAAGGGAAGCCCATCAATTTTGCTTACAAAGAAACGAAGTAGTATCACTATTCTCTAGAAAGAGGGATGAATCTGGCCGAGGGTCACCTCGTATTTCTTGTAGAAATCTATGATAATCGGATCCAAGGGGCCCAACGTGAAGGGGTAAGTGTAAACACTTAAGAACCCTTCCACATGGGTGGTGATTGATTCTTCTGGAGCTGGCACCACCACATGTTTTTTACCCCTGTTGCAATCTTTTTTAACCTGGGAGAGGAGTTTTTCGGTTATCGAGCATATGCACCTCGATACCAGCTCGCATTGATCTGGCACCGAGGAAGTCTTTTCAACCTTGAAATCAGAATCGAGGAAACATCCTTCGGGAAAAAACTCTTCAGGGCGTGGCTCCGCTGCCGGTTCCTCATTGGCCGGCCATGACGATGAAACAGTCTCCTTTTGTGGAACGGTTTTTGAAGTCTTAGACATTTTTACTTTTATGAATGAAGAAGAATGGGAGCTAAGGAGGAGCGCTTGGTATTTTGTGATGAAACAAGCGAAAAAGCCTAGAGATCTGAAAATACAAAGCCTTGAGGGAGGCAAAGGATTTTGTAGATTAGAGTGAAGAAGATTTGAAAAGTAAAGTTTGAAAAATGAAGAAGGAAGGATTATAATTTCTCAATGACGGTTCAAAGCCGGTAATGGCCTACCGTCGACTGACGCGCATTAAATGCCTGGAAAACTGTACCGACAAGACGTTTCAGTTACCTCTACTGCTTGCGTCATGATACTTACGTCATGATGTATCGAGGTGAAGATCGAGGGCTCAAATCGTTTCTTGTCATTACTCTCCAAAAAACGAGGGGACTATCTGTATACGGTCAAAATCGAGCTTGCCCTTTTTGTATGATTAATCGAGATCGGGGTGTGGCAGGCCAAGGTTCGACTCCATGTCATACCGGACCATGACATGAAGTTAGATTGCCAAGCTCGTGACTCAGGGACCGATCGAGATCGAGACCAGCCAAGATCGAGACCAAGCAGGATAGAGATCGAGCAAGATCGAGGGAAGCCCGCCAATCCAAATAACGAAAAGCCAAGATATCCGTGATCGGGCGAGGATCACGGCGGGAATCTTGGCACGTATCAAGAAGAGGCCTATTAATCAGCTAATCATGGGATTTCTTACTGTATTTAGGATTGTATTAAGGGTAGGACTCCCCTACTATTTAATGGGGGTCTGATCATTTGTAAAGGACATGATACTCACGTTACATAAAGCATTATACTATCTTCTTCTTAAGCTCTCAATACTCTGTTATTCTGTTCATATTTTTCAGTGAAATACTTGTTTGATTCGAAGGCGACCCGGCTCGAGAATCAATGCTATACATCTCTTTTGGTTTGCTTTATTTCTATTTGAGGTTAATTTCAATATCAATTTGCGTTTTTCTCAGTTTGTGCCAAGTAAAATCACGTGTCCTTAAAAACACAATATAAATTCAATTGTTATCCATTTTTAGGGTAAACAAACATAAACTTCAAACATTAATGCTAGTTTTGGAAAAAAAAATATTATATAAGAAAAAAATGTCTGTGGAGACAAGATAGTTGAAACTAAGTGGGCGTTTGGACATAAAAATTGTAAAATTTCAAAAAAAAGGTGAATCTTTTTTTTCAAGTGAAAATAGTATTTAAAAATTAGAGTTGTGTTTGGACATGAATATAATTTTGGGTTGTTTTTGAATTTTTGTGAGTCATCCGAGTAAAAATTATAAAAACAGCTTTTTGGAGTTTTCAAATTTTCGAAAAATTCCAAAATTCATCTTTAAGTGAAAATTATAATTTTTATAGCCAAACACTGATTTCGAAAAAAAAATAAATGTTTTTCGGAAAAAAGTGAAAAAATTCTTCTGTCCAAACGGGTAATAAAATACTAACGGAGTAACAACATTTGAAAGAGTAACTAGTGTGGTGAAATTCAATCCACGTAGAGTGTGCAATTTTTTGTCATCATCATATTTGGCGAAAAAACATAAATTAAAACGGGATCTTTTTTTTAAAATGATAATTTTTTATGCAGCTCAGATGTAATTGATAATACTCGTGATCACTATAAATTTTTTATTTTTTCAAAAAATTTGACCAATTCTCGATTTTCTGTGTCGTTCTTGAGCAGGGGACATGCTAATCTTCCTTGTATCGTTCCAACTTTACGGATGTCTCGAAAGGGACTAATCACTATAACTTAATATTGCCATTTGTCAAAATGTACATCTTTTTATTCTCAGGAGTAACACTCAAGGGGTGGTATAGATCGACAAGTTATACCGAGATTATAATGCAAGAATTAATTACGTAGGAATTAATACTCGTCCTCTATCCTTTTCATTCTTTGAAATGGAGGGAACAATATACTGTTTTCGTCCAAGTTTATAACACTTCCAAGTTTATAACACTTCTATTATGTACACAGGATTAAAAGAGGAAAGTAGTGCATTCCATCCCCATGTTTGAGCTCCTGATCTCTTCATACAGTAATCATGAGACTTAAAAACTTCATCTTATAGAGACTTGATCAATGTCTCAGCTTTTTTCATAGTTCTGTAGTGCCAAATTTGCAAAACTTTTCGGATTCAAGCTTCTTTAGACCAAAAGGTTGTTGTCAAAATAGGAATCTCTCCTTTTCGAATGTATTCTCCTGCTCTTCCATTTCCCTGATCACACAACAACAACAATAATATACGCAGTGTGATCCCACAAGTGAGGTCTGGAGAGGGTGGAGGTAGAGGGGTAGTTTCCCTGATCACGTTAGGTTGTAATAGTTCGCAATTCTCAGATAAAGCTGTTAGTTTAATTTGTAAGGTGAGTAAAACCATTCAACTCCGCCTGGTTGTGACGCTGGGAAATGAGATATACAAGAAAAGCCACATATGCTGAAGCTCCCATGCAAACAACAAAACCAAACAGCAGGCCGTTAACTTCAGAAAGGAAGAAGCTCAACATAACATATCCATTGATCATTATTACCAGAGCAGCTACTGTCCAAACAGTTCTCTGCAATCAACAAGTGAAATATGAGATACTGAACATAAGGTCCTCAGTCCTCTGTCATAAATATTTGGTTTTGAGAAAAACAAGATTCCAGCCTTTAACTAAGGACAGCCATTCATTTCTTTTTTAGTTAAGACCAATTTTAATTGAAAAAGCACGTAAAAGGGGTGCAGCTCATATGCAGAAAGCAACCTAGAAACCTGTATGCGGGATAGCTCTAAATGAAAAAACGGACATAATCTACATGTTTAGGGAAATACAAAAGCCCTGCCAAATAATCTAAATTTTTAAACAAAAGTTCTCCACCTATCATAGCTACATTCTTAATTTCCTATAGTCGTAGCTTGAATCATATCTTCAAAATTCCAATTCAGTAAGGGTAACAAGAATAGGAAGAAAGAATAGAGGTTGTACTCCAATTTTCTCACTTGCAGTTCAACTTAACCTATTTAAGAGGGGAAGTACAGACATTATGGCGTTTTAATCACGCAAAACAATCTAGAACTGAGGAAACTGTAATGGTGGAAGCAAAAACATAGAAGAATTTAACATTCTTCCTTAATACAATGAAGAGATAACAGTTGTTCTTTTTATCAGCTGAGTCTGTTTATAGCTTAGGACAAAGAAAGCTACAAACAGTGACATCAACAAAGAGAGGTTTGGATCCTTCATACGTACTGATGTATGGGAAATCTCTAAAGTGGTGTGAGCAATTTGAGTCAGTTTAATTAGCAACTAGTAGGTATTAACTATGCCAATTAATTATATGCAAGACATACATGTCACTGATTAGTCTTTTGAGAGGCTAATCATCATGCTAAAGGCCATTAATAAGGCGATTCCTATCATAATCAGTATGGTAGAGCTTCTGATATGACTAATTACCTCCATAAGCTTCCCAATCTTGAAGACTTCCATGATCTGCTCATTTGACACCAATGTTAGAAGAGGAATAATAGCAAATGGGATCACCATTCCTTGAAGTACATTTAGCCATTCGTTCAAAACATCGAGTGAATCCTCTGATCTGTTGAAATATATGGCCACGACTATGGTTGGCACGATAGCACAACTCCTTGTAATCACTGACCTTATCCATTTCTTCATCCGCAGATTCAGAAAACCTCCCATAATAAACTGACCAGCATAAGTACCAGTCATCGTGCTACTTTGACCAGCGGCCAAAAGGCCAATGCCCCATATGTAGAGAATTGGAAACAACCCTCCACCATATCTTTCTTGAAGATATTGCCCAGCATTTACTAGCCCTATGCTATTCGCTTGTGGAGTTCCATAGAAACCTTTGGCAAAGACAGTTGTTACCATCAAATTGATAGAAAATGAAACAAAAACAGCAATTGATGACTCGATCGTATAGTAGTTCAATGCCTCTTGAACTTTTTCTTTCTTTTTGGGATCAATTTTCCTTGTCCGCACCAAAGCAGAGTATAGGAACACATTGTGAGGAGTTATGACACAACCAACAACTCCAACAGCTTTCTGAATTGTCTTTGAGCTGAGCCTTGGTAGCAAAAGACCTGAAAAACAAACCAAGCTAAAGAATTTAACGTAGGCACAGAATTGATATTGGCCGCAGAAGTAAGGAAATGCTCATGTGAAAACAAGTTTTCTGACCTATTATGAGTTCCTTGCCATTAGGCCTAGTCTCAGCAAACATCCAGGCGAATGATAATGCCATAGTGGAAATTAGAACAGCAAAAAAAGCTTCTAGTTTCCTTACTCCATAATTTTCCAGAAACAAGAAGATGAAGCTGTTATTGAAACATCACAATCATTGTCAGCAGAGCAACATATCAACAGGCGTCAAGAACATTTCATCACATAATTTTATTCATATTCTGTAGGCCAAGACATTGAAAATTAACATTTTCAGTTTCAAAGGATTGAACTAAAAAACTGAAGGTGGATCTAGGATTTTTAGAACATGGATGCACCACTAAAAAAAAGGAGAAAAAAGAAAGCTTTTAGTTGGAACTGATCCCTCTTCCTTTGGTAAATAACTCAACACTCCACCAAACGCACAATTAAGCCTTTTTGGAGCATGGGGCCAGCAATAATTAGATCAATTCTAAGAGATATGTACATAAAATACCTAGTTTGTCGGAAAGACCATAGATTCACGTGCACCATAATTTGGGCCTAAATCCGCCACCCAGGACAACGCCAAAGGATGTGGGTTAACAACCAGTGAAGTGAGTGAAAATCATAACAGAGACTAGGGTTTAAATCCCCATTGTGACAAAAATGATAGGTGATTTCTCCTAATCTGCCTAAGCATTGGTCGACAGAATTATTCGGCTACCCTGTGGTGGTGGGAGGTAGCCGGGCATCCAATGCAACAGTATTCGGTCGAGACGCGCACAAAGTGACTCGGAGACCATCATTATAACACAAACAAATACTAACAAAAAGGGGAAACAAGAAAAGAAACAAAAGGAAAAGGAAAAGCTCACCAATCTGAAGCAGTAATGAGGACACCACCCCAAAGAGGAATAACCCCACTACTAAGTATCTTAATAGCAATGGCACTTCCTATAACTTCCTGAATATCAGCTCCAATCAGAGCCACCTCCGCCATTAACCAAAGCAAAATCCTGGCCCAATTTGGATATTCCTCCCTGCAGATTTCAGCCAAGTGCCGCCCCGTAGCAACACCCAATCTAAGAGACAATAGCTGTATAAGCAAGCCCATAAAAGTGGACCACATAAGCAACCAAAGCAACGAGTAGCCCGCAATGGCTCCAGCCTGTAAATCTCCTTCCAAATTTCCAGGATCAAGAAATGCGACGCTCATTAAAAATCCAGGCCCTGTAAACTCCCATAGCTTCCTCCAAGAAAAAGGTGGGACCATCTCTGGAACATCACCGGCGTCAACTTTCTCGATTTCAATGGCCAAGACTTTATCTTTAGCCTGATGATTATCATAATCATCACCATCATCATCTGATAATAGACGATTCGATTCTCGTATGCCATTGTGCTTCGGTGATGGAGAACTCATCATAGTTTTCTGACTTAGTTGTAGACGTTTTTTTTACTAGACATGGCCAAAATTTTGGCTCTGAATTTCAATGACGGAGCTAAATATTTAAAAACCAACAGACCTAGATCTTGTCGATGAAGGTGCGTACAATAAAATACGACAACCATTTTAATATTGACCACATAAAAGTGAAAGTCAAGGAGACAGGATTCATCAGCGTCGGTGATTAAGGTTGGGGGACCACCATTTGCATTTGTTCTGTTCAAATTTGCTATTTCTTTTAAGTCATGAGGCCCAAGAAGAATTTGATCATCATCAAAAGTAGTACTTATACTAATAATAAGAATGCTTGCCTTTTTTTTCTTTGAGAGAAAATAATTGATTGAAAGTGCTCATTTCTCAATTTTTAACATTCCTCCTATGCCGTTCCATGCAAAACCGAGCCGATAAGGTCGGCTCGTGTCGGAGTTTTTGATGGAAATGCAGGTTTTGATATGATACATATATTCCTACTTGTTATTCTTTTGTTAATCCATCATCATTTGTAGTTCATCACAATGTACATAAAATACAAGGATTTAGTAAGATAGATGGTATTGTGTTGATTCCGAATAACTTTGCCTTTTACTGCAACAAGAAAACAAATTTAGAAAAATTTCAATCTATTGACCTATCTCTCCAAAATTTACACCTGCAATGCAAATATAATTAAGATATTTGCTGATTCAGTCTAATAAAAGTCTTTGTTTGAGTTTTAAAAAAAGGTATCAATGTCTAACAATACAAATTCCCTTTATCCTTCTTTAAATTTGGAAGCGGAATCATCCAAACACAGCACAATGAAAGCTCCTGTCCCCTCTACAACACACCCCCCTACGTAATGTCACAGAGCAAAAAGAGAGAAGCTATGGATAGGAGTTCAGCATAAAAAGTGAGTATATCACAAGAAAAGATCCAAACACTTCTTTTGTATTGATGTAAGTCACTTCTAATCAGCTGAACCAAATACTACATTACTGCACAATCGAATATTCTCTTACAAAAATTCAATGGCTTTGAAGTTCATCTGCATCTATTTGATAAAAACAACATTGTGGATCGAAGTGGCCTGCAATGAAGAAGTATCTTCATCCAGCGGAATATATACTTTCCTCATCCTCTATATCTGATGTCAATGTCCTGAATAGTTTGCTCCATTATTTATTTTGGGGAACCTACAGCTAAAAAGCAAATGCTGACAACTATTGGACATCTATTATGACAGTTAGGACACAATGAAATTGGAATCTCTTCAGGTGAAAAAAATGCTTCAGTAGCCAAACTTCCCGAGCCATGGCCTCTCTGCCATGTCGTGAATTACTATTTACGACATTTGGATTTGATGGAATATTAGTCTTAGATGTCTCATTGACCAGCATAGCTATATCCTTTTGTGCGGAGTAGGTTGAACCAATTGGCAACATTGCCACCACCATGTGAAATAAGGTACAAAATGAAGGCAATATAACCTGCAGTCCCAGCACAGACCAGAAAAGCAAACAGCAGCCCGTTGACCTCAGAGATAACGAAGTCCAGCAAAAGATAGCCGTTTATCACCATCACTAGTGCAGCAACAGTCCATGCAACTCTCTACAGTAATAATGAAAGGGCAGTTCAAAAGTAGGATTCAGAGGAAAAAATGCACCCCATACAAGACAGTCCAAAATTTAGAATACAAAACTTAAAATGCTAATAAATTTACGAGGCTTCATACATGCGATACGGGTAACTTAGTCTGCAATATAGCAAATAAGACAGAGAACTCTGAAAGGACTGCACATTTGATGTATTAGTTTGTCTTAGTCATAAATCTGTCAAGCTAGTGTACAACCACAAAACAAACCAACAAAAGAGTTCTATATGGAATGGAGTGTTCTGTAATATTTTTATTAAGATTGTTCATTATCAATTGATTTACATTCATTAAGCACCGAAAGATGTTGCCTAGCGGTCAATAGACCGTGGAGACTAACGTTCAGATTCTATTAGAGATAAAAGAAGCTAGTTATTTACTCGCATCTGTCTAAGCATTTGGTTGACAAAGTAAACTGGTATTGTATTGGTGGGAAGCAGCAGGTGCTCGCTAGATTAGTCGAGATGAACTCTGATCCGGTCACCATCATTCTCAAAATAAATGAAACATAAAACAACATATGTGTTGTTAATATTCAAAGTATCGCATTAGAACATCAAACACACATAACAGCTATGTTATTAGGAGTTAGGACTAGCCACTATAGCCAACTAGGATGTGGATACATATCTGTGATATCTGGTAAGGATACATGCAGGTATTGCCAACTTTATTATATTTTGAAAAATTTGCAACGAAATACTTATTCGATGTCACACCCATTAGATACAGGGTACACCAAGGCAATTGAAGAATCTATCTATCCCAGCAAAAGACTACTAGCTCAAAAGAAGTAAGATGATTCAAACTGTCACACCCATTAGATACAGGGTACATCAAGGCAATTGAAGAATCTATCTATCCCAGCAAAAGACTACTAGCTCAAAAGAAGTAAGATGATTCAAACTTCTAGGAGCGTACGTACCTATACTGAAACACAAGAAAATAACTTGATCGTGTAACTATTTATGCTATTATGGACTAAACAAGCAGCTTACACATATTTAAATGACACACTCATGGTGTTAATCACAAGTGGGTTGTTTTTGCTAGCTTATAGTTTTGATTTTTTTCATTCTCTGTCAACTTCTCAAAATTCTAGACTTTCTGACATCAAACTCACAGAAAACTGCTAGCCACTTAAATAACTAAGATGATTTAAATTATGAAAGCCAGTTGTTCTGGAAAAAATATAAACAAATAAAGGAATTGACCATACTTGAGACAGCTTCATATCTAATCTTCAGAAAGTAATAGACATGAAACTGAAACCACAGATAATGGGGAAGGTCAACTTACCTCGAGAGTAGGCCCAATTTTAAAAACACCCATTAACTCCTTCTTGGACACCAATGTCAGAAGGGGGATAAGCGCAAAAGGGATCTGTATAGACTGAAGCACATTAAGCCACTCATTCAAAACGTCGAGTGATGATTCAGTTCTATTGAAAATCAGAGCAACAATTATTGTTGGCACAATAGCACAACTTCGAGTAATCAGCGCCCTAAGCCATTTCTTCAAACGTAGATCGAGAAAACCTCCCATGATAAACTGTCCAGCATAAGTACCGGTTATTGTACTGCTCTGTCCCGCTGCCAATAATCCAATACCCCAAATATAGAGGATTGGAAACATTCCCCCACCATACTTATCCTGAAGATACTGCCCTGCATTTACAAGGCCTAAACTACTAGCTTGCTCACTTCCATAGAATCCCTTGGCGAAGACAGTTGTAACAAACAAATTGATAATAAAGGAGACAAGAAGGGCAAAGGAGCATTCTATTGAGTAGTAATTCAATGCCTCTTGAACCTGCCCTTTTTTCTTCGTATCAATCTCTCTTGATTGAACCAAAGCTGAATGCAAGAATACATTGTGAGGCATTATTACACAACCAACTACTCCAACAGCCTGCCGAACTGTCCTTGAACTGAGTTTTGGAATCAAGAGACCTATGAAGATGAGAAAAAGCAATTTGACAAGAAACATATCAGCACCTAACCATAATGATTCCATGTAATTAATTTAAACAAATGCTAGAATAAGAAATGCACCTGCTAGAAGCTCCTTTCCACTAGGTTTAGCATCTCCAAACATCCAAGCAAAGGACAGTGCCATAGTCGAAATAAGAACAGCAAAAACAGCTTCCAACTTCCTTATTCCATAGTTCTCAAGAACCAAAAGAAGAAAGCTGCTTGCAAAAACAGAACAAAAGAAAACTAGTTAACAGATTGATCAACTAACAAGAGGAGTATGCAAACGTAAAATCACGCTTATGATGGTAACTTATGCAAACTAAAGCAGATTACTTCCATTAGCAACATACTATGTCAATCAATCAACTACACCTCAATCCCAAAAAATTGGAGTTGGCTACCTGAATCCTCTTTATCCATTCACTCGATTCAGGTCCATTATATTCCAATTTCCAATACTATTACGGCAAATTAAAGGTTCTTTAAGCCTCGCACTTATCGCTACACAACATACAATTCTCTAAATCAGGGGCAGATGTAGAGTTGACGCTATGGGTTCGGACTCAATAGCTTTGGCCCAAACTTCATCTTATTATTTTTTTTTTTAAAAAAAGCAGCCCGGTGCACAAAGCATCCCGCATGCAATTATTAATTTAGAACCTAGTAACTCAAAAAGGCTAGAATCCAAAACTCATAAACTTCAAATGCTGACTACGCCTCAGCTTTAAATAGAAGAAAAAGACTCCTAACAAACCCAGGCGTGAAGAAAAAACATACTCCGTACTATATGGAAAATCAAATCGTGATCCCAGTTAATGAACATTAAAAAGACTATATTTTTCGCATTTAATTGGCAAACAAAATAATACTAGTACTGCCCATTGAATGCTAATTTGAGCTAAAGTACTGATCTTTTTAAGCTAATCAACTGAAAAGTAAATCAAATTTACCAATCAGAAGCAGTAATAAGCACACCAGCCCAAAGTGGTAAAACCCCACGACTGAGTATCTTAATTGCAATTGCACTTCCTATAACTTCCTGAATATCGGCTCCGATCAGAGCCACCTCAGCCATGAACCATAGTAAAAGCCCAGCCCATTTAGGATACTCTTCCCGGCAAAGCTCCGCCAAGTGCCGGCCCGTTGCAACGCCTATTCTCGCCGACAGTAACTGGATCAACAGGCCCATAACAGTGGCCCATAACAACAGCCACAGAAGCGAGTAACCCGCGATTGCTCCAGCTTGTAGATCTCCTTCCAAATTCCCCGGATCCAAAAAAGCTATGCTCATTAAGAATCCAGGACCCGTAAACTGCCACAGTTTCTTCCATGAAAATGGAGGCACCGTGCTGTAATCAACACCGTCGATCGGTTCTGAATCAAAATCAACGATGTGGATCTTCTCCCCAGATCCGTACGCAAATTCTTCTTCTTCGCTGCCATCATCAGCATCGCCGTTAATTAACGGCGACGTTGATTGCGGCAGAGAGGTACTAAGGAGGTGGCGGGATTCTTCGTCTTTGGAATCCGAGGGTGTATTTTCTTGTTGTGGAGGTGAGCTCATTGTATCATTTTACCAGTCACCGGAATATCCTCAATTATCCTACGCTGTTCAGAATTGTTAAAAAAGAGAGAGAGAGAGGCGTATGTTAGCAAAAAGGTGGCGGTTGCGGTGGCGCTGGTGGTAGACGGCGGTGGCGAATAGGAGGAAGCCCGATAGGGAAAGAATATGGGATTGTGTCGGGCTCGTGGCGCTAAGTGGCAAAGGTCGTTATATATATTTATTTTTTGTGAAAAATATTGTACTAGGAGCTAAGCTACTGTTAGTATGTTTCGTGTGCTTACTGTATTATCCAATTAGATACTGGTGGAGTTTTTTGTTTTCCTGTAAAGGTGATTTGATCGTTACGTTATTCTTCAATTCCTTAGCCAAAAGGAAAACTTTCCAATTTATTCAATTTTTTTATTTTTCGAGTTTAGCTGAGGGCTTATCCGAAACAATTTCTTCTATCTTTACAAAGATACGTATAAGGTATATATATATATATATACACTATACTCTCTCCTGCTTATAAGATTCTTGTCATTATGTTATTGTTATTTTATTGTTGTTATTGATTATTTGAGTTTAGCCGAAATTTTATTGAAAACAACATCTTTACCTTCATAAAGATAATGGTAAGATATGATACACATTACCTTTTCAGACCTTACTTATAGAATTTTACTGGGTATGTTATTGTTAATGTCTCGTTTTTTTAGTTTATTTTAGATGTCCAATACTTTGTAGAAAATATAAGAACGTCTTAGATTAGAGAACTTAATTATTCAACGTTCAAATGAAAATAAAATGAGACTAGCTTAATGAATTAAATGAGTAATAAATATTCAGGTAGATGTGAGTTGTTCTACTTTAATTACTAACATTTTGTTGCCAAAGAAACTTTGTTCTGTTGAACTTATTGGTGCTTTTTATAATTTTCTTACATTACGCTACTCTTATTTTGATAGGTACTAAATAATCAATTCGTGAATAATTACGTTAAAAAGGGAGAGAAAAAAAAGAGGCAAAAGTTAAAAAGATAAAGAAATTTGTCGCTTCTTTATTTATCTTTATAAAAGTATCTTTTTGAAAAAATAATTCAATAAATTGTGTCATACCATCAATCCTTAAAGCTTTTTATGCTTCCAACAAAGGTTGTGATGGAGTAATAAATACTCATTCATCCTTAATCAAATATCTCGATATCGAGCCCTAGATATGAGTTGTTTTTGTTAGGAAGCGTTATTTACCCCTAAATGTGGGACTTTTCATTGGGATTTCAAATTTAATCAAACCCCAACACGAGTACCGGATATCGAGTTAAAGACAAAAAAAATGAGTTTTTTATGCCTGAACCAGCAAATTTCTCCTAGTAAAGTACTAGGAGTATCTCGAAAGCAACCAACATTATAGTCTAATGAGTTTGGAAGTCTTTTTCTCAAAGTGGGTTTTACTATACAAAAACATCACTTTAATACCCACTCATGAAATACTTCACAACTTTAATCTTCATTAAAACAAAATATAACGTATTTTTTTATTTATCAATCAACTTTATAGAAAAAAACAATTACAAGAACAAATTAAATACAAGCACTAGTGCTATAAGTTTGGTCGTTTCTGGATTATTAGAGAGGAAAAATCGCATGATTTATTTGTGAACTAATTTTAAGGGGAAAAATATAGGTGACTGATTCTTTGTGAACTTTTATTAGTACTTATCTATAGTGGAGTTACTTTTTTTATCGTACCATTAATAACCTTAGTTGAAAGTTTTTTCTATTTCTTGTTGATTTCAGACCCTTTTTAAAATTCAAATAAAAGACAACTCAACTTTCAGGGGGATAAATACTACTTTTTTCTAATGCTGTAATCTTGGTTTTCCTTTTGCACTTAAATCAAAACATGAATGCGAAAAGTATATACATCTGGATTTATCTATTTTAAAATAATAACAAAAAAAAACTTGAATCATATTAAAGAAAGAGAATATACATCTTTAATCATGATTAAGAGGGTGTTTGGATTGCCTTTTAAGCTGGTCAAATCAGCTTTCAAGGTCTTTTTAGTTTTTTTCAGTGTTTGACAAAGTTAAAATGTGGTTAAATAAGTTAAAAACTGCTTAAAACAAGCCAAAAGCAAAACTTATTGCTTTTTGGCTTAAAAGTTATTTCCGCTGAAAAGTCACTTTTTAAAGGCAATTCAAACGGGCTCTAAGCTAAAGAAGCGGGGACAAAAATCGCACACATATAGCAAAACCGATTTATTTTGTCATATATAAATATAAATTGTTAAATAAATGTTATTTATGAACCCTTCGAAATTTAATATGGACGCAATTGAGTTACGTATTTCATCAGGTAATGAGTTGAGTTGTTGAAAAAAGAGAAAACGCATGAATGCACCAAAAGCAAGAGGGGATATCAGAACTGAATTTCAATCTAATTAAAATATCGTTCGTTGGTTTTTTGAAGTTAAAAAGGCAAGAGACATTATACTTATTCGGTTCAAATATTCCTGTTTTCATTTTCTAGAGCATAATATAGTAGAGACATTATGCAATCTTCAAATGTTTGAGTGTTTGTTTGTGCTTTTCTCTAACAGAAAAAAAGTTTTTCGAAAATTTCTTTTCCAAAGAAAATTGTATTGAGGTACCTTTTTACAAAAATTCATTGAGAATATTCACAAAACTTCTTTATTCAACAATTGACGAATCCCATTTTATCTTTGCACAATTTTTTTTTTTTAAGTTCTTCTAAAAAAGATTTCCCCAAAAACTTTTTCCATAAATTGTTCAAACGGATCGGACATGACATCATATCAGAACAACAAAACCATACGTTCCCTACTCTACATGAAAATATATGGTACGTAAACGAAAAAAGAAAGAAGGATAAGCTATGCATAATTTTCTTTTATGAGTTTACATTAATGTTGTCATAAAAAACTTATAATTATTGAACTCTTAAGTAAGAAAATTGTCCTTAATTAAAATAAGTTCTAACATATAGGGTGTGTTTGGTATGATTTTCCAATTTTCTCATGTTGGTTGGCTCTAATGTTTTGGAAAATATTTTCCTCATGAATTCATTTTCCTCCAATTGGAGGAAAATATTTTCCCTAACAAGAGAAGGGAAAATATTTTTCAAAACTCTTTTTCAACATTCCCCACTCTATTCCCCGTCCCCACCAACCCACCCCCACAGCCACCCACCTACCCACCCCCACAGCCACCCACCTACCCACCCCCACCCACCCCAACCCCGTCCTCGCCCCAACCCTACCCTAAATAGAAATTTTATTAATAATAGTACTTTATTTTCATGTTATAGACAAAGTATTTCTTTTTCATTTCAATAAATGAGTATTTTCTTTTTATCATATGATTTTTTTTCTTTTCATTTTAACAAAAAAAGTACTTTCTTTTCATGATATAGAAAAAGTATGTTCTTTCATTTCAAAAAAATAATGTAGTAAAAAGTATTTTCTTTCATTGCAACAAAAAAATGTAGTAAAATATTTTTCGCAAAAAGTTTTTCACCTCACCAACCAAACAAGGAAAAATAAGTGATAAAATCACTAATTTTCCATAAAAATATTTTCCCTCATACCAAACACACCCATATTGTTGCTAGTTATGTGTTAGGATGGCAATCGACCAATTAACTTTAAAAATCATTCGCATTTAAAATTATTGCATTCTCAATGGCAACCTTCAACCTTGATCTGAAGGAATTTATCCTTTCTCATTGTAAACTTAACTCTTGTTTCTTATATTTTTGCTACAAAAAGGTAACCTATATCACATATGAAAGCAAAGTATGTCCTATATTATATATGCAAAATAACTTTATCTCACATAATTTACAAACAAAAAATGTCCTTAAATCTATAATATATAATCAAATGTTTTTAATGCACCATTTTTTTGAGAATCATCAAGTTATAACAGACAATCTCATTAGTGAAAGAACGTTGTTGCTGTTAAGTTTAGAAATTTACTAATGATCAATAACCCTAAATAAGTTTTGGCTAATAATATACTTTTGTATGCAGATTCCTATTCTTGTAAATAACAACATTGCTAATAGGAAGGATGATCTACTCAACGTCTACATAATCTGAATTGGAAAGTACATCAATCAAGCCTAAGAAGAAAGGAATCAATCAGGATTGACCAAGATTCTATTCATGGACGGCAATCAAGATTTGAATGAAGATTGTGCAGAAGGTCAAGAAGGAAGCAATCCGCCAAAATTGGAATGAAGAAAGCAATCAACCAAGATTGTCTCAAATCAAGGAAGATCAAGGGAAGCAATTCGTAAGGAATAAAGATGAATTTAGCTATCATTCTAAGCTGGATTCACGAAGCAACCCTTGGGTCATTCTCTTAGATGTATATGCCTAACAAGGAAAGAACTCCTAGAATTGCTGCAATACAATCCCAGAAAACAAGAAAGCAGAAGACTCAAAAAGGCTATAAAGGAAGAAGCAGAAGAACTTAGAAAGCTACGCAACTACGCAAACTGTTTTCTAAGCCTTTCTAGTTCTTAGTACAAACACGGTATTCCTGAGTCTACAAGTGTCACAAAATATAGGAAGAGTTAGAACACAAAAGAGAGTTGTGTCAACATTACAAAGATCATTGTTGCTGAATATCGTTGATGGTGAACGAACTAAAACCATCACTTTTGTAATCCTTTATCAAAGATCTAAGACAACCCTTGTGACCCAAGGAAACTGGACGTAGGTACCACACCGGTACTGAACCAGTATAAAAACTGATGCGCCTCATTTACTTTTCTGTCAGTTTATTTCATTCTCACTGAAGTTGTTTACTGTGCAAAACTAGTCGACTAAACTCACATTTAGGCAACCAAGATTTTAAATTAGCTACAATTCACCCCCCTATTGTACTTTCAATTGGTATCAGAGCAAGACTCACGAACTTTGTTTAACAGCTAGCGAGGAAAAGATCAAGGGATCGAACACAGTCGTCGGTGCATTATTTCAAGAAGGAACCTCTCAAGTACGACCTCCATATTTCAACGGACAACACTTTTCTCATTGAAAAGTTTGTATGGAAACATACACCAGGTCATATGACATCAAAGTTTGGCGCGTGATCAAAAAGGGAAATCATCCAATTCCGCCAAAGAAAGATGAGAATGGTCAAGTCATAACATCAACTGATCCACTTGACTTAGATGATTACACTGATGAGCAAGCTGTTGTCATAACTGTGAATGCCAAAGCAAAAAATCTACTGTATAATGCTATCAGTGGAGAAGAGTA